TCTGATTCGGCACTCACTGTTAGATCAGTATCAGTCAGCTTACAGACAAAGCCATTCAACCGAGACAGCTCTTCTCAAGGTCGTGGATGATATCAGACATATTGTCGACAGAGGTAACTGCTGTTCCTTAGTAATGTTGGATCTTTCAGCCGCTTTCGACACGATTGATCTAATGGTGCACCTAAAGAAACTTCACGTAGAGTTTGGCATTACAGACGGTGTCCTTGCATGGTTTGAATCTTACCTTCTCAGTCGTAGTCAGTCGGTACAGATTACAAACACCAACTCAGATTCTGTTAATCTTTCGAATGGAGTTCCCCAAGGTTCTGTGCTGGGACCAGTGCTATTTGTACTTTACACAGTCATCGTTGCCAATATATACTATTCAAAAAAAGTAGGGGATATTTGATTTTGGTGGCATAATACTAAAATATGCAAATGACTACGAAAAAAGTCACTATAGAACCTAACAGAAGAAACATTTCCAGTTACATGTGACGCCCAAACGCACCAATAGCTACCGCATGGAATGCAGGTGATGCTTGGGATCATCATGGGGGTCCAACCCAAGATTTGCACGACTCTGACTTTGAATGTTACAGTCATTGTGGCATTGAATTCCAGGGTGGAAACATCAGTTTAATTGTTTTAGTGACCAGAAAACAAATTTTGATATGCGTCGGCTTACCCAAAATGAAAGGTTACGTGCCCTTGGCATGCTACAGATCGGCACAACACAGGCGGTTGTGGCGCGGACGATGAATGTTTCTCAGTCTGTCATAAGCAGGCTATGGTCCAGATACCGTGATACACAATCTGTCAGGACAGACCACGCTCAGGTCGACCAAGGGCGACAACTCAAGCCCAGGATCGATTTATCCGTACCTTGGCCTTGAGAAATCGTGTCATCACAGCAAATCAGATCAGCGCTCGTCTTCAAACAGACACTGGTGTGAGGGTGAGTGGCAAGACGATTCGGAATCGACTGCATAGGGGTCACCTTCGCGCCCGACGTCCTCGCGTGATCCCTTGTTTGAGAGATCATCACATTCAGGCAAGACGTCGTTGGTGTAGGGATCGTCAACACTGGGATAATCGACGCTGGAGCAATGTGATGTTTTCAGATGAGTCAAGGTTCACTGTTGATTTTTTGGACAGACGTAGGAGGGTGTGGCGTCGTCGAAACGAGCGCTTCCAAGACGTTAACGTCATCAGACATGATCGATTTGGGGGTGGGTCTGTTATGGTGTGGGGAGGCATCACTGTTGCTGGAAGAACGGCTTTACATGTTGTTGCAGGGCGTGTTACAGGCCAGTACTACCGGGACAACATCTTGGCAGTCCATGTTGTGCCGTTCGCACGACGTCATGGCCGCCGTTTCATCTTCCAGGATGACAACGCAAGATGTCACAGGGCCAGGATCGTTACAGGTTACCTCCAACAACAGAACATCACCACATTACCTTGGCCAGCACTGAGTCCCGACCTCTCCCCCATCGAGCATGTCTGGGACATGCTTGGACAGAGGTTACGTCAACGTCAACAACGTCCTGCCAATGTCCACGAACTTGCTGCTGCGTTGCAACAGGAATGGGACAATCTGGACCAAAATGACCTTAGACGTTTCATTAGGAGTATGCCACGTCGGATCAATGCTTGTTTGGCAAACAGAGGAGGATTTACCCGTTACTGACTTGGTTGTGATGCTGTGGTAACTTTGCTGTTTGACCCCGGGTATCATTTTACCCTTATAATGGTCAGTCTGTGCCTTACTTAGTCTAACGATCATTTGGAATAAATCGATGAATGTGAACTTCATTTCATTTTGTCATTTGTTTCTTCGTCAGTTTCATTAGGTGACTTTAATAACACTTAAAAATCAAATATCCCCTACTTTTTTTTAATAGTATACTTAAAAAGCACCAGCTTATGTATCATTCTTATGCTGATGATACACAAAATGTTGACAGCTGGAATTCCAAAAGATATCAAATCATGGATGACCAATAATATGCTCAAACTCAATGATGATAAAGCAGAGGTCATGGTTATTGGTACCAAACAACAGCTTTCTAATAAATCAGCATCTACCATCCACATCGCTGACTCTCAAATAAATATTGTTAACTCGGTTAAGGATCTTGGTGTCCATCTTGATTCTGAGCTTAGTATGGAAAACCATGTCAATCAGTTGTGTAAAGTCTGCTACTTCCATCTCCGGTCTATCCGACAAATTCGACATCTTATTCCTGACAAAGGAATAAGTCAGTCATGCAAGGCAGATTAAGCAGGTAAACAAGGTAGGTGTATGGACGGGATAACACAATTTTCCCCACAGTGTGCCAAAACTATGGAACTCTTTACCCGTAAATCTCAAAACTTCGCAATGTTTGGAAACTTTAAAATCAAAACTAAAATCTCCTATGTTTGAATCCTATTATAAAGAGTGAACTATAAAACTGAAGAGCTAAACAAACCTGCGCCATGAGCATACTGTTTGGATGGAAAGAGCGCAATCTAAATATTCATTATAATTATTATTATTACTCTTATACTATTTGCGAACAGGAAATTACAGTTGATATGCGAAAATATCGAAAGGAACCAAATTATTTGGGATATAAAGATGTATTTTAAATTTCATCAAATTTGGATAAAAATTGTGGCCTCTAGAGGGTTCACAACCTTTGGTATTACATACTTTTACACTATTTGCGTACGTGGAGTAGTTTCGGTCAGATTTTCAGAAAATTCGAACTCAACAGCCATTATGGTGTAACAGGGATATATTTAAGCGTTTTTTTTTTAAACGGATAAAAACTGTAACCTCTAGATCCCACAAGCTATATCCCGATTTTTTCGTACAATCAGGGACCATAATCCAGGAAATGAAATGAAATGGGGTTTAACGTCCTACTGTTCTGCCCCTAAACTTGGCTAATGAAGACGGGCACACACCATACAGTTTGCTATGAGGGAAATTTTGCCCGGGCAGCGGCGCTACGGCCTACTCTTACATCGAATTCCAACTGCCAAGGATCTTTTACGTGCACCCCAATATGTATACGGGACCTCGGTTTTCCGTCCCCTCCGAACGACTAGACAGCTGTCCTTGTCAGGCCCTCTATCCTGCATCACTGACAAGGGGAAACCACGCCGGAAAATCTGGATCGACCACAATGTAGCCTCTATCGCGTTCAGAAGCCAGTTGTTGACGGACCGACGGACTAGGTGACGACATAATACACCCACATTTTTTAATCAAGATAGGTTGCCAGGCAACGAAACATACGCCCACAGCAGCTAAATCGCCCGGACAGTCAACAAGAGTTGTCATATATTTTTAACTTTTTTTGGTAATGAAACATTTATAATACATTAAAATCTGATTAAGAGTAACAAATCATGAAGTAATTATCAGAAAACCATTAGAATTTGTTTGGTTTTTATAAAGTTCTACCCTATGCTAACGGTTAGTATACGAAACTTTTAATATCATGGACTTAGCTGTTCAAGTCATAAAAATTCATTTAAAATCAATATACTTGTTCGTATCAATCTGAAGTCAATCAGATGATAACTTTAGCCTCTAGAGCATCGCACAAGATTTTTCAAAATGATCAAGGGCCATAACTCTGGCAGTAATTATCTGAAATCGCTGACAATCAATAGGCGTCTTCGTCTCATGACCTTAAACACTGTGTATACATTTAAAGTCAATCGGATATTAACTTTAGCCTCTAGAGCGTCACAAGATTTTTCAAAGTGATCAAGGGCCATAAGTTTTGCAGTAATTATCTGAAATCGTTGAAAATCAACAGGATTCTTCGTCTCATGACTTCAAACACTGTGTATAAATTTAAAGTGAATCGGATATTAACTTTAGCCTCTAGAGCATCCACAAGATTTTTTGAAGTGATCAATGGCCATAACTCTGGCAGTAATTATCGAAAATTGCTGAAAATGAATAGACTTCTTCGTCTTAAGACCTTAAACACTGTGTATAAATTTAAAGTCAATTGGATATTAACTTTAGCCTCTAGAGCGCCCACAAGAGTTTTCAAAGTGATCAAGGGCCATAACTCTAGCAGTAATTATCGGAATCGCTGAAAATCAATAGGGTTCTTCGTCTCATGATCTTAAACACTGTGTTTAAAGACAATCGGATATTAACCTTGGCCTTTAGAGCGTCCACAAGATTTTTTGAAGTGATCGAGGGCCATGAATAGACTTCTTCGTCTTAAGACCTTAAACACTGTGTATAAATTTAAAGTCAATCGGATATTAACTTTAGCCTCTAGAGCGCCCACAAGAGTTTTCAAAGTGATCAAGGGCCATAACTCTGGCAGTAATTATCGAAAACCGCTGAAAATGAATAGACTTCTTCGTTTCATGACCTTAAACACTGTGTATAAATTTAAAGTCAATCAGATATTAACTTTAAAGTGATCAAGGGCCATAACTCTGGCAGTAATTATCGGAAATCGGTGAAAATCAATAAGCTTCTTCGTCTCATGACACCTTAAACACTGTATATAAATTTAAAGTCAATCAGATATTAACTTTAGCCTCTTGATCAAAAAATCACATTTCTGGAAATATACTTTGGCAAACCCAACCTTCCTTGTCTGTTGCCATATTCCGTTCTCGTCATTTAAAAAAAAATCCCTTTCAATCAAAGCAGGAAGGTGGACATATCATGCAGCGGTACTCTTGTTTTATATGTTCGGATAAAGTGATGTGTTACTGAAATTCAGATTTACAGACATTAGTTTATCTATACATTCCTGGGTTCAATCTCCCAAACCGTTAGTCAATCAAACTAAATTTCAGAATATGAGACTTTTCAGCCAAATTGGGCATATGTAGCAAATTTCAGCAAAATCGACGATTTGGTAGTTTGACTCATTTGGTGAGTTGAGACAGAATAACCCAAATAGATTTTGTATCATCAGGACATTTTGTAAAGTGAATATACACACATTTCCTCAAACATCACATAAATGAAAGCTCTTTATTAGAATAAATAGCACATCAGTTATTTTACATCATTTTCTTTTCTAGTCAGCAGTGTTTCATTCAAACCTGTGTTTGACAACTGATTTATAACTGGATTTTGAGAATATAATATGATAGCACCAGTTATAATCAATATTGACACCAATGTATAAATGTCGATTGGTATGCCAAAGATTGCCCAGGACAAGATTGCAGTAAATATTAGCTCAATAGCACTGGCAAAACTCTTCAAAATAGAATTCATCGATCGCAAAAACAAACTAACACATATACCTATGCATGTATTATTGACAATGACAGCTAAAACAAATGGATCACCAATAGCCTTTACACTATCAATAGTAAAAGCGCTGAGCAATTCACCTTTCAGGCCTAAAACAGCAAAATTACAAATAATTGAGTCAGTGTACATAAAAACATTTTGCAACATGAAGTGTGCTTTACAGTCTTTTAATAAATATTCATTGTAAACACCTGCAAAGCAAGACGCAAACACCTGCACTAATATGAGGATAAAATGGTAATCAAAAACTTGAAAGGCCAGTGAAGAACTTGATTCCTTTGTGTGATGAGTACGATGAATTTCTTTTAAAATACAACCGAATGTTAACAATATCATTGATAACCACTGAATTCTACTGAGTTGTTTTTGAAAAAGAACCTGGAAATAACAAGAATAATAAAATAGAATGATGGAAGAAAAGTTATTTTAATATGCCTGGGCTTGGTTAACCTCGTTTCGAAACCTTTTAGTTGCCCACATTTTGCAAGACACAGGAAGAGAACTCTGAAAATCGGTTGGGCTAGTGCTTCACATCGAATCTAAAAAAGAATCTATTAAAAACTGTACCCTCTATCGTGTTCGGAAGGTTTTTGGCTGAGGGAGGTAACTCCGGAACAGAAGGGTGCTGAAAGCTGAATATCGTAGAGGTTCGTCCTCTGATCATGATCAAAATGATTCTCACAAAATAAGACCAAAATATGTTTATAGCCTCTATTATGTTAAAAAGTTTTTCATAACGGGGAGGCAACTATGGAACTAAACATTGAGTAGCGCTGATTATCCACAGACTTAGTTCTGTCATGATCTCAATGCTTCATTGTGGGTTTTTTATGTCATCAGTCCATCAAGAATTGGCTTGTGAACGCAATAGAGGCTACAGGTTTTAACTAATTCTTTTAAAGTTTTACGTGAAGCATTCTGGTGATAAGAGGACAAACTCTAATGATATTCAGAGTCTTGCTACTTTCTCTTCTGGAGTTACCCTCTTTGTCGAAAACCTTGTGACGTTACATCAAAATTGGATGAAAATGGTGACCTCTAGAGTAGCTTGTATATGGGAATATAAAAATAAAATCAAATGGGGTTTAACGTCCTGCTGTTCTGTTCTGGGCTAATGAAGACATATACATGATATAAGTCTGTTGTAAGATACAATGTTTCAATAGTTTTCATTAAGGGGAGGCACGGGTCGACAAACAGAGTGGATCGAATGGCGAATATCCTAGAATGATAAGGATGGTTATTTGCCATTCGTTTTATATCATAAGCCTAACATTATTGTATATTGTTGGTGCTTTTATTCAAAATACAGATCTAGTATCCCTTGTCATTAATTGTCATGTGTAAATGGAAACCTTCGTTCACAGCGAAGCGAAGACAGAGAAACAGACATCTTGTGTAGATGGAAGTAGCATACATGTGAAAAGTTCCGTATTCTATGAAATTTTATATATTAAGTTAATATTAACTTATCAAGAAATATTGACGACGCATTTCTTTGCACTGTTGTTGATCACAAAGTAGATAAGATAGGTTGCCAGACAACGAAACATACGCCCACAGCAGCCAAATCGTCCGTGCGGTCGACACGGGTTGTCGCATATTTATTCCTTTGTAGGTAATTGGGGGCCTTTACAAGACAGTTCCATACAGATCAGATTATAATTTTTGCCGTTTGAGGGTTCACAAGGTTCTACAAACTGAAACAAGGGTCTCAACTCTGGAAGTAATCTACAGAAATTGTTGAATTTGACAGGTTTTTTTTGTTTTACTAATTTAAATAATGCATATAAATTTCATACAGATCAGATGATCACTTTTGTTATTCAAACGTTCAACAGGTTCACAACCGCCATTACTCTAGAAATTATTGACGGAAATTGCTGAAATTCAATAGACCTCTGTTTCACAAATTTCAATGATGCATATAAATTTCATACATATTGGATGATAACTTTAATCAATCGAGCATTAACAAGGTTGAACAAAGTGAAACAAGGGCCACAACTCTAGAAGTAATTATTGTAAATTGCTGAAATTCAATAGGCTTCCTGATTTCACTAATTTAAATAACGCATATAAATTTCACCAAGATCGGATGATAACTTTCGACGTTAGAACGTTCACGAGCCATAATTCTAGATGTAATAAATTTCATACAGGTCGGCAGATAACTTTAGAGGTTAGAGCGTTCACAAAGTGCAACAAAGTGAAACATGGGCCATAACTCTAGAAGTAATAAACGAAATTGCTGAAATTCAATAGGATTCTTCCCTTTACTAATTTAAATGACGCATGTTAGAAAGTTCACAAGGTTCAATAAAGTGAAACAAGGACCATAACTCTAGACGTAATAAACAAAAATTGCTGAAACTCAATCGGCTTCTTCATTACACTAATTTAAATAATGCATATAATTTCAGATAGATCGGATGATAACTTTTGGGTTTAGAATGTTCACAAGGTTCAACAAAGTGAAACAAGGGCCAGAAGTCTAGACATAATCAACAGAAATTATTGAAATTAAATAGGCTTCTTCGTTTCACTAATTTAAATCATGCATATAAATTTCACAAAGATTGGGCGATAACTTTTGGCGTTAGAGCGTTCACATGGTTCAATAAAGTGAAATAAGGGCCATAACTAGACGTAATAAAAGGAAATTGCTGAAATTCAATAGGCTTCTTCATTTCACTAATTTAAAAAATGCATATAAATTTCACAAATGATTGGGTGATAACTTTTGGCATTAAAGCGTTCACAAGGTTAAACAAAGTGAAACAAGGGCCATAAGCCTAGACATAATAAGCAGAAATTATTGGAATTAAAAAGGCTTCTTCATCTCACTAATGTAAACAACATATGTGACCCCCATGGCATACTGAGTCATAGTGAGGAAATTTTAAAAATTGAGTTATTGTTATTTTCACATTCTCCAATTCATTACCTTCAATTTGATGTATAGTTTGTTTGAAAAGGGCAAAAATTGACTGAGCTCTGTCCATTTGAAGCTACCCAACTCACAAAAGTAAGTTTTGAGAAAAAGCAAGTCAAAGATTTGGTATGTTCTAAAACAAAATCCCATAGCAACCAGGCCATTTATTTGCTGTTTTGTTGTTGAATATATCTGTCCATGGGTGCTGAAGACGAAAATCGTAGTAAAAATTTGATCCGACGATTTCCGCCATTTATTTGCTATTTTAGTATTTTGTCGTTTAATATTTTTTTTATTTAGGATTTCAAATGGACGGACAGACGGACAAATAGGGGCGACGACAATATACGTCCACATGAAATTCCCCCCATGTAAACTCCCATTTTAATATACCAGGTCATGATTTCGTGTGTACAATAGTACAAAAAATTCCTGATAAAGATCAGAAACCAGCGGCTGCCAGGCAGGATACGCCCACATTTTCGAGAGATGGATAGAGAACAAGCTAAAAAGAAAGCGATTTTTTGTACAATCAGGGGCCATAATTCAGGAAGTTACGGTCCACAACCTTGATATACCCAATTTTTACGCTATTTGAGAACGAACGGCAGCCATTTTGTCTGTCAATTTTGGGCCGATTTTCACGAAATTCGAACTCAGTCGTCCTTAGGGTCTAACGGTGATATAATAATACGTTTTTTTTAAATCAGATAAAAATTATGACTTCTATAGGGTCCACAAGTTAAAAACGCGATTTTTCTTACAATCAGGGGCCATAATTCAGGAAGTTACGGTCCGATATGCGCGAATATCGAAAGCTCCGAGATCTTTGGGTTATAAACTTACATTTCAAGTTTCAACAAAATCGGATAAAAATTGTGACCTCTATAGGGTCCACAAGCTAAAAACGCAATTTTTCGTACAATCAGGGGCCATAATCCATGAAGTTTCGATCCGATACATGCCAATATCTAAAGCAGCCGAGATCTTTTAGGGATAAACCTATATTTCAAGTTTCGTCAAAATCGGATAAGAATTGTGACCTGTAGAGAGTCCACAAACAAATGTGGACGGACGTCCGGACGGACACGGGCGACGGCATAATAGTGTCCACATGAAAATGTGGGCGTATAAAAATTGAACACAGCAGAAAGTCTGTGGATTCATCGACTTGATTCAGTTTGGCCTAACGGTTTAAATGAGTTAAATCCAGGGGGTTTCAAAATCATTCATAATCATGCATAAGTTTTCTTAACTTGTAAAATTTTACCTAAGTTTTAGCTAACCTAACCTTTCACGTTATGTATCTACGTCTATGACGTCATCACTCCCACGATGTCATAACCATAGAAATATATAAATAGTCTATTTATATATTTCTATGGTCATAACTTCCTATGATGTCATAACTGACTTCCAGTCATTTTGAATTTAGTTCTTCATCCCTGAAGAAGTTTGTATTTTTACTGACGAAACGTTGGATAAAACGATGGTTTTTTTATATTGTATTCTATTAATTATTTTATATCAACTTATCTGAATATCAAATGCATCATTTTCACTCAGTCAAAATTGATCCCATCAATCCGTTTGTATTTGGTTTGTGTTTCCTGTTTCTACTGATTGGAAGTTTCACATGAAAATGTGGGCGTATAAAAATTGTGACCTCTATAGGGTGCATAACCTTGATATACCATATTTTTACGCTATTTGAGAATGAACGGTTGCCATTTTGTCTGTCAGTTTTGGGCCAATTTTCACGAAATTCGAAATCAGTCATCCTTATGGTGTAACGTTGATATAATAATACGTTTTTTTAAATCGGATAAAAATTTTGACCTCTATAGGGTCCACAAGCTAAAAACGCAATTTTTCGTACAATCAGGGGCCATAATTCAGAAGTTACGTTCCGATATGCGCGAATATCGAATGGAACCAAGATCTTTGGGTTATGAGCATACATTTCAAGTTTAAACGAAATCGGATAAAAATTGTGACCTCTACAGTGTTCACAAGCTAAAAACGTGATTTTTCATACAATCAGGGGCCATAATCCATGAAGTTACAGTCCGATACATGCCAATATCAAAAGGAACCGAGATCTTAGGGTGATAAACGTATATTTCAAGTTTCGTTGAAATTGGATAAAAATTGTGAACTGTAGACTGTTCACAAACAATTGTGGACGGACGGACGGACGGACAGAGGCGACAACAATATACGTCCACATGAAAATGTGGGCGTATAAAAACTAGATAGTGTAAAGGTAATTTGCTGAAAATTTCAGTCAAATTGATCCACTATGAGCCGAGACCGAAGCGGGTGAAATTTTCGCATAGTCTCGGTCATCATTACTAAAATCATTAATATAAACAGCATAGTCTCGATTATCCATTGTTTTGATTTAATTGTCAATGGCCGTTAAGCGGCATAAAGGAATCTA